GMSCCAGGCCCAGCGGCGCCTCTTCCCTTGGTAATGCTTTCCAGAGGCACCAAAACCTCTCAGGACACGTCCTTGGGAAGCAGCGCTTCTTCACTGGCACTCAAGAGAATTAACTGCACTGAAGCAGTCTCCAAGTACTGCTGAAAATAATTTGAGTTTACAGCTTGCATCCACAACTTTTAAAATTATGGACTGCTTATAAATATGTATATAATATTTAACAGCTCCAAAGTAGTTTACTGCTATATTTATGCTTTGAAGTATGCTATTTATTACTGTATACTGTACATAAACATGTACAGAAAGTGGAATAAAAAAAGATAACATTTTAAGAAATTCTTTACACTAGAATTCAAAGAACAGAGCATAGTTTTGTGTGGGACATGAAGGTTTAATTTGGTGAGGTAAGGACAATCGCTTAATTAAAGTTTCACTCCAATTTGTTATCAAAAGCAATTATCTGTTTTGATATTAAAAGAAAACAATTATTAGACTCTCTGCATACAGTTAATTATCTTCAGATTTAGAGTTCTGTCTTCCCCTTCAAATCACGGCTTTTCAAAATAAAACAGCCCTAATCCCCTCACGTCTACCTGCACAAAAACTAATTTTTACTTGTCGCTCTTCTCTGGCATTTCGGCACGTGGTAACCAGAGCTCTGTGAGCATTCAAAATTAGTCACACCATCAAATCTTTTCTGCCTTGCCTTCAACCCTTCTCCCTTATTTCCTTCACATTCTGTTTGCCCATTGGATTCAGCATCAGGCTGACAGCCTCAGAGAACAAAGGACTCCCTCCTATTTAAAACAGCTAATTAGAAATCACCACAGATTTCTTTTTATTTATTTATTTACTATTCTCACAGTTGTGGTTTTTAATCTCTTACATGTGCACTATTTTGCACTTAATAGATACTTGAAAGATAGATGCTTTTTCATCCTTACATGGTATCACTGTGTCCTTTCGTGACTCTAAAAAGTCCGTTTCAATTTGTACGTTTAGTCTAAACCTCTACACAACTCCATTGAAACACCTTCTCCACTATGAAAAATGATCATTTAGTCCTATCTTCTATTTCCTATCCTTCAACTTACTGACTCAGAAAGACCATGACAAATTGGAAAAAAATAGTCTGGAACTAATGAAGAGACAAGGAGCGATAAGAGGCCTAAAGAAACATACAAGGAAAGATTAAAGAAATTGTAATTATTTAATCTCCAGAAAGAAAGGTAAAAGACAGCATGATAATGTTCAATTAGGTAGAAAGTAGTTGCAGAGAATAAGGGAATAAGTCATTTTCCATATATTTTTGGCATAGGACAAAAGAAATATTTCATTTAAATTGCTACAAGGGAGATGCCTATCAGATACCTGAGGAAATACCCTTAATGGCAGGAACTGCTGAGTATGGACAAGATCACCTTGGGAAACTGTGTGGATATTCATTACAAGTTAGACAAGCGTCTGTCAGGAATGATTTGTGGAGCTGATCGTGCCTTTGGGAAGTGGAATGGAAGGGATTACCTCTCAAGGTCCTTTCTTACTACAATCACACAGACTATTTAAGGTTGGAAGGGACCTCTAGAGATCATATAGCGCAACCTTCCTGCTCCAACAGGGACACCCAGAGCACGGGGCACAGGGTGGCAGCCAGGCGGCTTTGGCAGATCTCCAGAGGAGCAGACTCCTAACCTCCCCGGGCAGCCTGTTCCAGGGCTCTGCCACCCTCACAGGGAAGAAGTTCCTCCTCAAATACTGCCCAAAACAAATGAACTCCACTGCTTGGTTGACTCGGGGCAATCCGTGTTGCCTTACTGGCACTCGACTAGATCACGACTGTGCAGATGGATCGCACGGAAGGCGGCCGGTTCCACACAAGCCACCAGTCACTCACTTGATCTGGTTGACAGGTACTTTCCGCTGCGCCAGTTGCTCCACCATGCCTTTTTCTTCCGAAGGAAGCAGGACTAACAGAGCTTCACCACCTTCTTTGTATCTGATCAAACATAACAAAAAAAGACACTAAGTAAACACAACAGACAGTAGGTAAACATACCAAAAATAGACATTTTTGCTGAAATTTTCAATAACCAATGAGAATTTATATTTGCTTCCCTAAAAGCAGCCTAAAGAGCCAACAATATTCCTTACTTTACAAAGGGAAAAGATGAGACAAACCAATTAAGTGATTTGCCAATGTCAACACTTGTACTGGTTTCAAAACTATAAAGATATAACACAGAATCACAGAATCATTATGGTTGGAAAAGAGATCATCAAGTCCAACTGTAAACCCATTATCACCACGCTGGTCAAACCACGTCCCTAACTGCATGTATTTAAATATATAGCCACAAATAAACATCAAATGCCAGGGGCTAAGATACAGACTCAGACCAGCAGTTCTTAATTGTGCATTCAAAAGATTTCTGCAGTAATCGAGGGGCACTTAAATCTTACAATACAATATGAGCAGACAGAGCTATTCAGATGCACACTCTATCAACAGGCAACTCTTCCTGACACTTGGCTACAAGTGGTTTTCATTTGCACGTCCTTCAGCTGAAAGAAAGGCTAAGGATTAAATGCCTTCATCCTGAATAACTTATACTTGTATCTTTAAAAAAAAAAAAAGTATTACTGAAAGAAAAGCACAAAACCAGCATTTTTTTTCCATCTATAGAGCCAGTTTCTAAATACAAAGGAAAAAATATAGAGATTGATTCCATAAAAAATACACCTTGCACTCCCTCACCATTGCTTTTAACAGTTGTATCAAACCTGGATTGACAGTTACTCAGATCTATGGTCAGAAAAAAAAAAAAGTTCTCTTTTGTTCTCAAAACATTTTTTCTTATAACAAACTGTCAGTCACTGCTTTTGTAGATCTTCATAAATTGAAGAAGCTCATGGAGAACAAATTACTCAACAGCACTAGTAAACAAACAGTAAATCTTACTACAGGAGTAGTACAATGATGAATTAGCTTGTCTGCATTATCTTAGCCTACACTTACTGCAATTCATTCCTCTTCTATACGTTTAACAACAATCCTTTCGAGTTATCAGCAAGTTAACAGGTTTATAGAAAGGCACTGCACAGAGTTCTCATTGCATAAAACAACTCAATTAAATTTAATTTCAGAAATCTGCCAATATTGGGACAGAATTCAGCACAGCAATTTGTGGGACAAACCAGAGCAAGACAGAAGTCAGCCACCCTACAGAGCAGCAGTAAATGAGCAGAGCTGCTCACAGGGGCACCGGGAACAGCAGAATGTAATACAGAAACCACTTGCACTGTTCATAGTCACAGCATTTGCAACAAATTACTCATTATATTATCATTCAAGTGTATTTTAAATGAAATTTATTTATTACCTTACTAGACCTTTGATTTTATTCCTATTCCACTCATATTTTCCTTTTCCTCGTACGCTGGTAAAACCTACCTGTTTAAAACGTATCTGTGTATCCTTTCTGCTTTCTATATAATAATTAACCTGTTCAGTATTTATGAACATTAACCTGTTCAGTATTTATGAACATTAACCTGTTCAGTATTTATTCCACTCTTAACCTATCTCCCTTTGCTGTCCATCATTTATCCATTCATTTCTTGCCCTTCCATAAATCTTTCCATAAATCCAAACTCCATCTCACATTTCCAGTTGGGTCTGTGCTCCAATTGCATCAACTCTTCCCCCTCGAGAGAACCATCAGGGAAAGGAGCCTATACAAAGGCTATAACATTTTAGCAGAAAGGTGGGAGATTCTATCACTTTGTCTTTGGGCTAGAAACAACACAGAAAATAAAACTGGTCCAAGGCAGGTCTCCCTGTCAAGGGGATATATGGGATTCTTTCCAATAAAAACTCAGCAGTGACAGGGTAAAAGATCAATCCAATCTTTGTGGATGGAGGAACAGATAAAAATGCCACTGAAGGAAATGCTGGGGCTCAGGCCCCTTGGCTGAAGGTAGAGGTGTGAGGAAAGAGAGAGGAAGGACTAAGGCACCCAAGATGAGAGCGGCATCACTAACAGATAGAAACCTTTGGAGAGGGAACGTAGGGAGATCACATTCCTCAAGGTTTCAGCAGCTACTGCTTGGCAAAAACTCTACTGCAGAAGGGTTTGATGCATTTGCAAAACCACAATAAAATGCTCTTGAGCGTACTGATCTGGGGATTGTTTTCCATCAAAAGGTAATGTCAGGAAAAAGAATGCCTTTTTAAAATTCTTAAAAATGTTTTTTTTTGTCACCAAATTTTAACACTGCCATTCTAGATTAGGAAATCTGACAGGGAAATCAAAACTCTCGTCTTTGTCACACGCCAACACCATGACGATTTATCAAAATATGGTTTTGATAAGCTCTTAAATTAGCAGACCTACAACACTGCTGATGCAGAAATATCACCCTGCAGCACAGCTCTGAGCAAGCCCTATAGCAACCTGCACGCTCAGGTTGGGGCAATATGCCTTGGGCTACCGTGTAAGGGACCGTAGGCCACTGCTGACAAAACCTGCAATAAATGCTCAGGTCCTTTATATACTGGATTGTCTTATTCCTACCGACCACTCTGTATTTTCACATAGCCAAATTCCAAAGGCTATTTCAATAAAGTAGGCGCATGGCACATACTGCCCTGTCTGAAGGGGCAGGGGAATCCTGGAAAACAACAGAGCCACAAAGGACTTGGAATTTAATGGCAAAAAATTATGATCTCAGCTCCAGGGCAAATAAATATTCACTGAATGAACTTTAACTCCCAATGGAAATTAGAGGAAAAATAGAAGAAAAATATTCTCTTACCTACCCAAAGCCTTCATCTGACATGAGAACCGAGATGGCATTGCTGCCATTAACAGTCTTAAATTCTTTCAATACAGTAACATACAATTCTGCTTTTCTCTTCAAAATAGATGTTATGGGGTAAATAATTCAGAGAAGATCTATGAAAATGATCTATTATCTGGAAAGAATGTCCATTGAGTTTCACAGTAAGAACTTTCCTCATTTACCAAGGACAGAAACCATCTTGACCACACTGAATAAGCACCTACAAAGGGTCATTTCTGTAGGATGTATAAGCACCTACAAAGGGTCATTTCTGTAGGATGTATAAGCACCTACAAAAGATGAGTTTGTTGTTACATTTAGTCAAAATTAGTGTGTGGTTCACAAGTCTCGCTGCTTCTCACATTTAGCATCTTTAAGTGCTTCCTTACCACACCTAAACCACTGCTTTAATATATTTCTGTGTTAACGTGAAACACACTATTAAAAAGTGCTAAACAAATCATGGAAAAAATCATCATCAAAGGCTGATGGATGTAGATACAGCCTACAGAGGGCTGCAGATACAGGAATACTTGCATGACAGTTTCCTATGTTTGCACATTTCCCATTTCCAGAAAACTCCATGTAACGCAAGTGACCAACACTTCGGGAGAATTCACCACACACAAAATTATGCAAGGAAACTCAGCATAGAATTTTTATACTTTCAGCGGTCAGAGATCAACCATCATAATCAAAAATGTGTATTTTTACATCTGTTGCTTAAATGTGACTTCTCCGAGTTGACCTTTGCCACTGAAGATCTAATTTAAGCATAACTGGGCGAGCTTGGATATCATCAGCTATGCCATCGGCTTACCTGTCTTTTGACAGATAAGGACTTAGGCATAGGTAAGGTACCTCTGCCAAACTTTGGAGCTTAAAGACACCCCTAAAAAGCCGTTTAATTCCAAACCCACAAGTCATTTTGGGGAACCTCAGTATTCCAGAAATTCACCACAGCAGATGCTTTCAGTTAGAGAACTCGGGCATCAAGAAGGTCAAAGCAGCTTCTGAAAAGGCTCCTCCTCCCCCAGGCCAGATTTGCTATAAGGAGAATGAGCAGAACACTTCCTTTCCAGGCCTTGTTAGTCCAAGCTCCAGTTCCACAAGAGTTCAGAAAGCTGGAAGAATTGAACTTTCCTTTTCTCCTTTTATTATATTTTTCTTCTCCTGTCATTTGCCTGAAGTCTCAGCCTTATTATTTTACTTTAGGGACAACGGCATAGCTAAGTGTCTGCAAGTATGTATGTAAAGGCTCATAAAGGTAACAAAAACAAAACATCAGAAAGACAATTTTAACAGTTAAAATTGTGCTACCCATGTTCTTATAAGGATTTCAGTTAAGGATGCCTCATACCATTAAGAAAACTGTGGTAATCATCCATACATAATAAGCAAAATTATAATATTTAAAGCACCTTTAATAATGTTTCTGTTGTACTACTATGACACCTGAGGGAGAAAGTTAACATCCATGGACTCAAATCTAAGAAACTTTGTAATCAACACCGAGGTCATGGTTCAGTCCTTCAATAATTTCTTTTTTAATATTAAGCTTGGATGCAGCCCTGTGCCACGTGCTCTAGGTGACCATGCGTGAGCAGGGGGGTTGGACTCGATGACCTCTGAGGTCCCTTCCAACCTTCGGCATTCTATGGTTCTAAGCTACTTAACAAAATTGAATTTTTTAGATGTGATTGACTCTGTAAAAACTCTCCAGCTGGGGTTTATAATCAGACAATACTTTATTAGAATTTATATAGACAGGGACTGTCTGGTATTATTTTCATGATTGAACTCCAATCCAACTCAGTCGCTAAATCAAGATCTGAGTTTCGATCTCACTTATTAAATAATTTAACTGTGAGGATATGTTGTGTTCAAACTCAGACAAAACCTAGTGAGAACAACAAGAAATCTCATAAAAATAACGCGAGGCCAGCACTTCTGAAGATTTGGGAATGACAACCGAAATGCCCAACTAGTTATCATTAGGAAATCAAGAGTCCTGAAAGGTCTAAGAAACACAAAATAACATGTAGCAAAATAAAAATGCATTTCCAAAAAAGACGGTATGCAGATTTATATAATTTATGCACAAGTAGCCCTCCTGTACATTTCACACCATTTTCCATTAGTTGTAGAAAAAAA